ATCTCTCTCTCTCTCCCGCTCTACTCTTCTCTCTCCATTGCTCTCTCTCTTTATCTCTTTCTTTCTCTCTCTTTTACTCCATTCTCCTTCGCTCTCTCCTCTCTCTGTCTCACTCTATTATCTTTCTCTCTTCTCTCTCACTCTGTCCCTCACTCATATCTCTCTCTCCTCTCTCTCTCTCTGACTCTTTATCTCTTTCTTTTACTTTCTTCTCCCTCTCTCTCTCTCACTCTGTCTCTCACTCATACCTCTCTCTCCTCTCTCTCTCCTCTCTCTCTCCTCTCTCTCTCTCTCTCACTCTCTCTCACTCTTTATCTCTTTCTTTTACTTTCTTCTCCCTCTCCCTCTCACTCTTTATCTCTTTCTTTTACTTTCTTCTCCCTCTCTCTCTCTCTTTTACTTCCTGCTCTCCCTCTCACTCTTTATCGCTTTATTTCTCTCTCTTTTTTTTCCTTCTACCTCTCTATTCTCTCTTTCTCTCTCCATTTTTCTACTCTCACTCCAAATTTCCTCCAGACTGGAAGCTAAACGAAGAAAATCGCTATTGAACGAAAACAGGCCTCCGAGTAACTAATTTCGTCTATTAGAAACCATACGAAACACCAAAACAATAAGTCAGTTGTGAAATCCAACTCTTTACTAACACCACCATTTGAGCTCTCTTTCAGACTATCCGATTATTTGTACAGCTTTTATGGAGGCAGGCTACATTGGAACTGAAATCACGAGCAAGGATATCAGAACATATTATCTCACATTTGGGTTCCCGGTCTCAGAAACCTAGAGGAAAAGTGTAGATCATACGAACTCTTAACTCTCTCGGATTGTAGGAGTCTTGATGGGACGACATGAAACGGTATTTAATCTTCTACTATGTGCCTCCCTGCTTTAGGCAGAGCTTGCTTCCGATATCTACGAGCTGTTTTCATAGATGATTTGTACAAAACATCAAGGTAAATTATCTAATAAAATTTTTAAAAGAATCGGAATAGATAGCTAAAAAAAGTCTTATCTATGGTCTTCACTTTATCAGCCGCTCGTCATACGCGTTTATTGTGAAGATGCATGAGCTAGGGCAATGAGTATGGGAGAGAGAGAAGATAAGGATTTATAGAATATGTATGGGTATATGCTGGCTATTTAAAATGCTGACTAGATCATGTCATCCATATGAATGTAAGCTCTCCAGCCTTGAAAGTGTTTATTTAAGAAAAGAGAAGTTTTTGTTAGCAAATTAGTTAGTTAATTGACGGAAAGACGTTCTGTTCTTCTTCTTAGTTGGCATACACACCGCTTACGCGCTTTCAGTCTTAAGATCTTGAAGTAATATTGCCCTGTGGTCCAAAAAGGATGGTTCGTTTTATTGCTTGTATACGGTTTAATGACCCTGCTAAACCATAAATCGGATCAAACAGTTACAAATTAAGGATGGAGAAGCTTTTCAACCACAAATCTAGGGCTTTACGAGCCCCAGATGCGACAGTTTGGAAATGGATCGATGGAAATGCGCCTCATAAGTCAAAACGATTTTTCGATGAAATTCCACAACATTTTCTTTGCTAATTGAGGCAAAGACACGACGTTGTTGATGATTGGCCGGCTTGACTTCTTATTTTATAAGCCCTAAGACTCAAGTCTTTATGCAAAATACGGTGTAATGACGTTTGTGGAATGCCCAATTCCGAAGAACGACGAGGAATAGACAGACCCGGGTTTTCTTCAACAGTTCAGTTGTTTTTGAGCGAAGTGCATGTATTTTATTCTTGACATCACTAACTTGTCCCAACAGCTCCATTTTTTCCTCCAGTTTCTGTAATGCAGTCCGACAACGTGCTTCACGTTCTTCTTTGTGGAAAACCCTGCGGAATGTGAGCACAATCTATACCACATAACAATTAGAATATTTGCTTTTAAGCAAAATATATATACAAACGTTCCATTGTACATTGATGGACTCTCAGGGCAAATGCCAAGTACCCGAAAGGACATTCAGTAGAGGCCAGTAAAGGATGGTCTGTCGAATACGACGGTTGATACACCAAAAGGGTAGCCATATGTCCTTGTAACAGTTTTTGTTAAGTTTTTTTTTTTCTTTTTCTTAAGTGTATTTTGTCACATTGAATTTTGTTTCATTTCTCACGTTTACGTTCATTGAAGATTTCGTGAAAATAGCAACAAGGAGCTGAAGCTGAAGCTGCTCAAGAAAAAAGATAAAGAGCAGAAGAAGGACACTTTAATGCCAATCGCTACAAGTAGCAACTACCACCTTATGCTATGCCACAACTGCCACCTTATGCTAGACAACATTTGTTGTTGTTGTTGTTGTTTTGTACACTTTTACGCTTGTATTTGTTCTGAAACAAACCGACACCATTGAATCCCATTCCACCTGCCCATCGAGGGCTGCAATATTTTTTTTATCATTTTTTTTCCTTTACAAAATCTCTTTTTGCTCTTTCTTCATGATAATTTTAGAGAGTCTGTGAATCGTACTAAAGTATCAGCAGAATAACATCTAATTCGAATGGCAGCATTTCTGTAGAGACTCTTCAAAGCAGTAAGAAATCAGTGGAAGTGCAAGTGCAAAAATATTTCTTCACTCGAATTTTTCTGCTTTTTTTTTGCTTTTTTTTATTTTTTATTTTTTTTGTTGTATTGTATGTATGTATGGTATGTACGAGTATATTTTATTTTATAACGCTTGTTATCTATTTCGGTGCGATTTTTGAGGCAGCTTTATTGCTTTCTAAGCCTATTACGAAGACAGTGGGCGGTCGCCGCCCGCTTGTCGCCGAGCTGATTTGCGCGACGCACGCTGCGTTGTTGGGTCAACATCGACGGTGGCTTGCCATATACTCGCACTCGTACTCGTACTCGTAAATACGAAAACAATTGCGTTGGTTGTGGCGTGAAATTGAGAAACAATGCGGAAAAGTGGAAAAAGGCGCGTCCTTAACGACTAACGACTACGAGTAACGACGCGAAGGCAGGCGCGTAAGCAAAAGGCAAAAATGGCGAAATTTCCAGTACAAGCACTTGTAAAGCTCGGTAATGACGCTGATTGTAGTGTCTTTGGCATTACGTAAGTAAATGTTTAATTTTGTCCCTTCATTTTTCATCTCTTCTAATCCTCAACTAGAAATTTAATTACAGCATTTGTTTGGGTGGAAAATTAACGCTTGGAGCAATGAACGGATATATTGAAATTTAAATTAGTACGAGGCAAATTTTCAGTTATATATAATATATATATATGTAAAATTGAAGGTTTTATTTACCATAATTGGAATTATTCGATTTATGTCAACTATGCACCATTTTGCTGGATAACTTTTTGTCATTTTGACGATAATATCATTATGCCTCTCTCATAGAAACCCTTGACCGTATTGGAACAATCGATTTTGGCAGGCTTCCCTTGAGGCCAATTCTTCACAAGCCAAATTATTCACTTGGTGCGTGGTCCGGGCAATAAGGTGCCCTCGGAGATTCTGGCGAGTCACTACCGATGTGTGTGTGTCTGGGGCTGCCTTGTTGGCTAAAGCTGGGCAATTTTTCTTTCCTCTTTCCCTCAGACCGCATAATTGCTCACAGTACAGGTCCGAATTAAAAGTTTAGCCGTGGAGGAGTAGATAATACGCAATGCCAATCCCACCAAAAACACAGTAAATCCTTCCAGGCCATCAACATTGGCTTGGAGACCGTTTGCGCCGACTTACTGCCCTTAGACCACGACTGATTTCGTTCGGCGTTGCGGCACATTCCAAATATATGCACTCAAACACTACTGGGTTAAGTAATAAACACTTCTTCCGTTATATTTTTTTAGTACAAAATCTTTCTAACGGCATCTGTCGTAATCCAATCACACTTATAGAACGCTAGATACAAATCACTAGGTCCATATATTGCAAGAATAATGGATTACTTTATACTATGTCTAATACTTCAGGAAACAAAATTCAGATGGGACGGGTGTTGGATGAGTGGGATTTAGTTTGCATGCAAAGATGATCAGTGTAGAGAGTCATTGCATAGATAATTTGAAATAGAGTCTGGATTGGTTGAGTCTGCTACAGTATTTAAGCCTTAATTTCGCCAGTATTACTCGCATTTCGCGAGAGAGCTAGAGGCTTCGATCAACCGCGTTTTTTAGCTTATCCACGTGCTGCCGGCTAGAAACTTGAGGATTTTATTACGGTTGTCGATTTCGGTGTTTGTAGTTATATCTTGGAACCAGTATGAACACCAACCGATACAACTTTGGACAGAGGGAGGTGATAATTGACACTTGCCACTTTTGCAGCATGGTGTTTCCAGCTTCAATAAAAGCTCGATGTGTAAAAAATTATGCCGGTGAGGTATTAATACGGAGATTAAAACATCACCTATGCAGAATATGGCAATAGTTCAGCACTCCAGACTAGTGAAACCTGAATATGCTCAACTCAAAGCGAAAAGAAGACATGAAATTTCGATATTAAATATTGTAAATTGTAGAGCTTTACAATATTTAATATCGAAATTTCATGTTCATGTTTCTACACTACAAAAACATAAATTGGAGTTTTGACCAACGTAAATCATTTTTGGGTAAAAAATGGAATATTTGAAAAAACAATTGTTAAATACATACATACATACATACATATATATGTGAATACGAAATTACTTAAATTAAAGAAAGTTTGTTGATTGTTCGATTTTATTATAATTATTTCATTATAAGTAGTTTAAATTACAATAAACTAAAAATACTAACAAAAAAATAAAAATTAAATATATTGTGTTGATAAAAATAGCACAAAATACTTGCAATATAAAATGACAATAATAAACTTTGTCATTGTAGCATTATTAGTAGCATAGTTCAATGTATTTATTGTTATTGTTATTGTATTGTTGATTTGTTGATTGCAACAGCAGTAAAGTGGACCAGATAGAATTTCTATGCGTAAATATTTATTAATACAAACATAAATAAATAAATGCTACCGTTACAGTTTTTTTTTTCTATTTCTTTCAAGTAACAATTCCAACAATATGTTGCCAACTTAACATTTACACATACGTAGTATATTTATTTCCATTCCTGAACCTGCTTGGCAGTGCATACGAACAAAACTCGTTCGTATTTGTGCATACGGTATTCAAATGTGATCAATTGCAATTAACTGTATAACCGTTAACTGTTAAATCAAGATATACATATATATTTTTTCTATTTAGATTAAAGTAATGCTTTGTTTGCATATTCAAAATGTTTAGGTAAATATATTTTACGGTGCAGATATTCAGCGAGCAAATTGCAGCAAAAGCCACTAAAAACAACTACATACACTTTTAGCATAAGTATTTGGGAAAATCATGATGTGTCCTTTGCCTTATTGATGCACACATTGTCCAAATTTCTATTGTACATATGTACATACATACATTTCTCGGTTTTGCAGTTGTTCACTAAAGCTATTGCTACCAGTACTATATGTATATCTGCGTTTTCTTTGCGAGTTTCAAATATTTCATTTACATATTACATACAGACAAAAGTGCTACTTCAATACTCAATTGTGTTGGGTTCACGTGGTTTTCGTGAGTATTTTAAGCCTAGTCTATCACTGATCTCGTCGATGACTTCTAAAGCGTAATCTAATTGTTCTTTGGTATGTGCCGCCGATAAGCAGTAACGTATACGCCCTTCCATAATTGGCGTCGCTGGGAAACCGACACCTACAACGGCGATGTGGCGTGTTGTCAATGTGCGTACAACGGCGCTAAAATTAATTATAATTATTAAATTACATAAAGGGAAAACCCAGCGATATGTGTAAAGGTATACATACCCAATTTTCGAAAACAAATACACCAGCATAGGCACTACCGGCGAATCTTCGTGCCCGTAGGTGATTACGCCCATCTGCGCTAAGCGTCGACGGAAATAGCGTGTATTACGCGCTAACTGATTGATCTTCTGACGTCCGGTGTCGGTGCCATCCAGTCCCATGATAATACTCATCGAAGTGTAAATCTGCTGAGCAATGGGCGGTGACATACTGCTGGCATAGCAATGTGCATGACTGTTTGTGCGCAAAAAGTCAATTAGACGCTATGAAAAATAAGTGCAATAGCGCTCAATTAGTATACACCAAGCAATAGGAATATGGCAGAAAAACTAGCAAATTACCTTCGAACCGGCAATATAGCCACCAGCGCTACCGAAACTCTTAGTAAAAGTGCCCATTAATATGTCGATATCTTTAGGATCTGCACCGAAGTAGTCAACTGCACCGCCACCATGCGGACCCATAGCGCCAATGCTGTGTGCCTCATCCAAGTACAAATATGCTTTGTATTTCTTCTTCAAAGCAATGATCTCCGGTAAGCGTACAATAGAGCCCTCCATACTGAAAACACCTTCTACCAGTATCAATATCTTCTTCCACGGTTTACCACCATTTTTGGAATTGCCATGTACCACATTGTAACGTAACACCCGCTCCAAGTCGCGCATATTATTGTGCTTAAATACTTTTGTAGTAGCGCCCGACAACCGTAGACCCAAAATAATAGATGCATGATTCTTTTCATCGCTCAAAACAAGACAACCAGGCGATATGAGTGAGGGTAAATTGAGTGCGTTTGTAGCGAAACCCATGCCAAACACGATGGCATCTTCTACACCCAGATAACGTGCCGTCAAACTTTCCAAATCCAGATGCAGTTGTGTTGTGCCCAACTCAACGCGCGTACTGGTCATGGCCAAACCCATTTCACGTGCTGTTTCTTCCGACTGCTCTGCGCAGGGACCTGTTGCATCAGCGAAACCCAAATAATTGTATGAACCTAAATTCAAACACCGCGTCTCAGTGCCAGTAAACTGAAAACTCCAACCATAATCATTGGTAACACGATCCTTGAGTGTGACCTCATCACCAGGCACACTGCAAATGGGACGATTCCAACAATCACGCACACGTCTATACACATAGCGCGAGTAAAAACTCTCAAAGGCATCATAGAGCGTAACATAACCTTCACGATTCTCCTCCTTGGCAACTTTCGGTACGAATAGTAGCTGATTTATATAGCCGAGTATCATAAGCAAATAGAAGCCTAGATATGTGAGACAGGCAGTATGAAGCGGCACTTCCTCGAACGACGTCTTACGCGTATGCTCTGCAGCAAATTCGGAGAGTTTTTTCGCTGGTGTATATAATGACTGTTTGCTGTTGCTGTTGCTGTTGCTGCATGCTGTCCCATTTGCTGTAGCACATTGTGTGGTGTTTGCGGTGCAATTCTGTAGAAAAATAAGAATTTTAAGTTTATAAAGAAATGCTTTAAAAATCTGGTGTAAAGAAAAAACTCTTAAGTTTATTAATAAAATTTTTTTTTTAGGTATGTCGCTGATGACGCTTCATTGCATTATTTTTGTTCGAAGAAATCACTGCGAAATATTAACAGAACCCGCAATATGTTTTGTAGTACATATTTGCATATTTTACTATATTATAATTGAGTAAATTAATGCAGTCCACAAGAGGTCAGAGCACAATGCTACTCGCAGTTCAAGTTATTTGACAAAAAGAATATGTATGTGTTTACTTAAAGTATTCTGTGATATTTTAACAAAATCTTAATAATAAAGAACAATTTATTGCACTTTTTTCAATCAAAAAATTATAAAATTTAACAAAAATGGGTCTACAATGCATATGTTATGACGTACATATTTATGTGCATTTAAAATGCGATAAAACAAAATACCTCATGATTCATACAGATATACATACAATACTTATATGCCATGATTAGATAAAGTTTAAATACAATCATATTTACATATGTACATATGTGTGTGCACTTCATTGGTATTCACATTTTTGTACATATATACATACATATGTACATACATGCCTGCTATAATTTGTAAAGCTTTCTATAGAATTTATTATACAAAAAATTATAGATGAAGATAATTGTGTGACATCACACTTAACAACGCACACTTATAAAAAAAAAGTCATACGATATGCACACATATTAGTACCCAATAACTATGCTGACCACCCTAGCTGGAGATATGAGCTTTGCTTTGAAGTAAGGCGAGTATATGTAGCTGACAGTGACGCGGGTGACAATGCCATACAAATGAACTCCTTTCGAAGATTTGAAATCAAGTTTGTCCTAGCTCCGATGTCATCAATCTATCATTAAATTATATCATTAAAGGCAAAATAATAATTTCTATAAAAAAGCAATTCGTCTCTCACAAAAGCTGAGTCAAAATTCATTACTTCAATTATTATACTGCTCTAACAGAAAGTAAACATTTTTTGCACTATGCAATGGCATGAAATTATCGTTTGTTTGAAGCTCGAATTTCCGCAGCCCCTGCAAATAATATAAAAGTAATTAAATATTTTTAATGAAATCTAAAATTAAAACGCCGGTTTGCATGAGTCATTACAGTAAAATACCACAAAGTCGCCGACGTTAATAACTCGCAGGCTTGCTTATCGCAAAAAACTCAATCTACTGATAAGTAATCAATTGAATGACAATTCATAATAACCCCTTATCTCCAAATAGCACGTTGCAAGGTTTAGAGGGAAACGTATGATTTTCAATATTATTTTAACGGTTTCAAAAGAACATTATTTTTTTTTAAATATTCTGCACGGATATCCCTTTCAAGCAACGGCCTCAAACACAAAGGAAAATGTCAAAAGGAGGTTTTTGTTTGTGCTTCCAATGGGTCGCGCTGGAAAGCAGTAAACACAAACAGCCAAATAGTCACGCAGTGTAAAAGACTTTTAAGAAACTTTTCCTGGTTTTAGCACAAATAATAGGCAATTAACACTCTTATCAGCAGACTAGATTTGAATGTAAGTAATTCCGTTTAACTCCTTTTGAGATGTGGTCTAGTCATTCTTTTCAGTATGAAGGGTGTGACATGAACATACATAACTCATTACTATTCCAGCACATGTCATATAGAAGCACGCACATTCATACAAAGCTTTGGAGCCGAAAAATTCCAGCCTTCTTCATTTTGACTAGTACTTTTTTATCATTATGTTAATATATGGGCTCATTGCACAAACACTTCACGTATGTATGTATTTAGTTTTTTGCACGAACACACATAGCCAACTTCAAAACTTGACTTAAATAATTGCAATTACTTTCTATTAACCTAAAACCGCAATCAGCTCAAAAAACTTATTCAAAGTCTTTAGAGAAAACCTAGTTCGGAGTCGTATACCGTACCTTAAGGCAACCATTGGTAGGTGCGGCTTCTACCACATTGTCCTTGAATCCATTTTTACGTGCACGAAGTTCTACCGTAGAACTATCACATTCCTTGGGCATATTCTCCTCCGTAATTCCTTTCATTTTATTCCAAGAATTAGAAATATCACAATTCCGTTGACGTTCTTGTTGAACTTCACCGCTGTCACCATTTGAGTTACCCATTCTGCCTGTTTCTTAACACTAATTTTAATTTATGCGTTTTTAATGTGCTACTTTCCTTTACTTCATGTTAGCATTTTCGCAAAAGAACAACATTCGATGAGCCATTAGTGTGAGCGAGAAAACTATGCAGTACATTTACCCTTCATATTTATTGGTGCTACCAGACCAGACGAAATCGAAATATTTAAAACTACCTAAAATTAACATCCAACACTCATTAGAGAGCGTCCATAAATTACGTATATCAGAAAATCCACGTTATCCAACCAAACTAACGGTACGGGTTCTGGAAACCCTAAAATCTCACCGCAAGGCTTATTTACAATCCCTAACTGGACTTTAACTGTCAGTACAGGAATAATTCTCAAAGTAAGATACCTGGCTTTGAATTTACTCAATGTCTCTAATTATCAGTCCTTCAAACCGTCATAAGGTAGTCGTTACCTAGCGAAACAAAATATCTCTTTTTTGAATATTCTCTTTCGAGCGTTTCTTCTTAACTTTTAAGGGATAATTCTTTTTTGCCAGGTGACTTCAAAATCTGATGAAATATAATTTATACTTTAACTATTTACTTAAGTGGCCATTACTACCGGTTATCGAGTTACAGTCAACCACCGCAGCTATCCCCAGGCGCATCTGCGTTTAGCGTGCCTCCTCAAATTCGTTACACCGATCGTACATGACGGCCGCCATAGCCGAATGGTTAGACTTCCAAACTGCCATTTGGTAGATCAGTGTTCTAATAAAGTTAAATTTTCTATTCGCGGCCGCACCTCGGCATGGACCTCGGTAATGTAGAACCCTGTGAGTATATTTATGACATAAAATTAAACGAAAACCTCATCAGCCGTTCGGGGCGGCTTATTATAAGCTGTACGTCTCTCCATTTGTTGGATAAATTAAAAATTGGAGAATGTGCCAGGTTTTCCATCGGTGGAGTGGCTGTCTGCTTCGTCGTGCTTCGATGTATATACGCTGAACAATATCGATATCGTCGTAAGTCTAGTACAGCTCGCAGTTCCTTCGAACACGATAGTGATTTCCAATAGGGAACTGTAGAATTTGCGACGAATTCTATCTCTCAAACACTCCAACCTTGGCTGCATCAGACTGCGTCAGAACCCATACTTCCCCGCCATATGACAGGACCGCCAAGGGGAACATCTTGAAAATCGTTAGATGTATCTTAGGAATTCACGATTCACCTAACGTAAAAGAATTCACAATGAAGCCATGAAATGTAATTTACCTAATAGTCCGCCACACCAAATTGTGAAATTATATAAGGTAGCAACCAAAGAACCGAACGGTTAGATGGGATTAAGCCTTCTCGACGACTAACAGTCAAGTTAAGCACTGTAAAACTTCAAATATTTCGATGGTCTTCAAGCACTCTCAGTTAGATGGACTTAGATCAAAAGTTCTGAGCTAGTTTTACGATCGAGATCAAAAATATTTAAATGCGCGCTATCTGTTGAGCAGAACACACATTTTCAAATCTGGAGTAATAAATCTCGTTCACCGTCAATTTTGAATTTTTTGTTCATTAAGCATGTCATGGTGTTCTTTGCCATTTTCAGTGGTCGCTTTTCTAATGGTATTCGTCGTACTGTGTTTGTACATCTAACGAACAGACCTGCTTAAGTCTTGGAAGTCATCTATTTTCACAAGTAAACTCAATTTGCAACACTTGATTTCCATCCAGCTGACAATTTCGTTTCCACGAACTTCCCAAACAAAAAGCAAGCACACAAATAAGCTTTACGCCGATAAAAAAAAGTTTTGGAAGCGTTTGAAATTGTGTAGACAGATTTTAGTTTGATTTGAATAAAATATTGTCTTTGGTGGAAAATCACATAGTTTATTCAGTGGAATTGATATTTTACGCCGGCAAATAAACAAGGTGTGACTATTGTTTATTTTTTTTTGAAACATTCTTTATAATTTAACAACTGTTCTGTTGCCACTGGAGAGAAAGACATAAACAGTTGAGCAATATGTGTTAAAGTGAGAAAACAATAGCTGGTTTCTTCGCCAGTGGGCAGCAAAGAGCACCCGCAGTTGCAAGAAATCTTGTGTATTTCCTCTACATTTGTTTCATTTGCAGTTTGTTCTTGATATTGCAACAACGTTGGGGCGAGTGAGCTGGAGAAAAAATTTACACCGTGAGTTGAAGAAAAAAATTTCAATTGATTTGCAGTAAAAATATATAAACTGATTGAAGTGGCACGTATAGAACTGTCCCAGTGTGTCAAAGAAAAAAATATAATTAAAGTAAATTGTGATAAAATCGAACAATTTTGGAACGCAAAAGTCTGACTAATACGAAGGAATAAAAAAATTTCAACGGGAGAAAGTAAATAGCCACAGAGCTACAATAACGAAAGGAATTTGAGATTAAAAAACATTTGACATTGAATATATTTAAAGAAATTATTTAACGGTTGCTTTTTTGAAATTGTAATTGAGGGCAGTGCGGATTTTACACAAAAATGGATTTCAATTTCGCTGATTTAAAGAAGGAGGCAGCTGCCACCACTGAGGACATGTTTTCTCACACCGCAAATGAAGCGAAAAAAGCAACAAATGCTGAATTTGACTTACTAGGCGGAGTTGGAGGTGGACGTGGTTCAACCGGTGCACAAGATGATAACTCACATACCGAACATTATTTCGCTAATGAACAGAAGGACATCGATTTTGAACATGTTGATCCCCAAGCCTTCGTACAGCGTATGTCTGCTGGTGCAAGAGAGGCTCAAGAGGAGTTGGATGCCAAGTTTACACACCAACCGGACATTAGTGAATTTACTGACAATTCCTTCGACCCTTTTGCTAAATTTGGGACCCCAGGCAGATTTGAAAACAAACAAGCTGCACATGACTTTTTAAGTGCTGAGCGTGGCTTATTTGGTGGATCTGGTGAACCAACTAAACCAGCCGACCAGATATCGGCACCTACAGCAGCACCAATTTTAACCAATAAGCAAACAGAGAACGCTGCTATCACGGAAGCTGATTTATTAAATTTCAGTGTTGGTGATGTGGCCGAACAGCATGCGCCACTTCAACCCTTTGAAGAAGATTTTGGTAAGCACTCAGAGCCAGTTGCACCAGCAGCTCCTGCAGCAACAACAACTACATTTTACGATGATGATCTTTTAGTTGGTAAATCTTCGCATTCTGCTTCCGCTTCCAACAAGGATTCGGATACTGACTCGCCATCTTTATCATGCAATCCATCACCGGCTAAGAAAAATCCAGTGACCGCTGCACTTAGAGAACAGGATAATGACAAATTCATATCATCTGAAGATCTACTTGGCGACTTTAAGGAGGAACGCAACGCAACACCCGACTTCCAGACAACAACTACATCAATCAAATCGGCAACTACAATACCGGCGGCTGACAAAAAACCAACTTCTGTACCTGTTACAGATTTGGATGCTGAAGATGAAGCATCTGCAGTGTTTTCACAAGCCAAACATTCACAATTTGAAGATGTTAAAGATGATGAAATTGCTAAGAAAGCATCGGCATCAGTACCGGTACCGGTACCTAGTGCTCCAACTGCAGCTGCGCCCAAGCCAGCTGCAGCTAGTGAGGCACCTGTCGCAAAGCCGCTCGCTCCCACTACAACAAACAACTTTTCGACAGCCGAGGTGGTCAAACCTAAAACAGCGCCACCAGTCCCTCCAAAGGAACAAAAACCGTCTCAACAGCAGTTGGATCAACCTAAGATTGTATCAGTTGAGGAAATATTCTACAAATATGGTTTGGGTAAGTGACAAAATTTTCAAGTCTACTTTAGTACTAGTGAAATTTTATGAAGCCTAGAGCAATTGGCACAATTGTCAAATTTTTTACTAGCTGCATATGTATAAGTGACTCTCAGTGTGTGATTGCGTCTTAATTTTGAATTTTAATAATGCGAACTACTTTCGGCTGTGAATTTACATATCTCTGAGAGTTTCCAGATTTTATAGCTTTATTGAGAACACACTTGTGAGTCATTAAGTAGGTATTATACACACTAATATATCGATATAAAATCATGTTTTATATTTACCAATGAACTCGAATAGTTTCATATTTATTTGTTAAATTTATTTTATATCCATTAGTAGTTTTATGTTGATTTCTGCTGTGTGTCTCTCGGGGGAAAGCATTCACTTAGTGCACACATTCATGGATCATATAATGTCAGCGTTAACTCATTAGCAAGAAATGATGTCATATGTTTCTAACCAGTTGTATGCGTGTTTATCACCCTGGATTTTGACAATGGCATAAAGCGAGTATAAGATAAATAAGGAAATTGCAAATGCTTTTCACCAGCACTTTTCTTGCATTGACATACTTATTTCTCACTTCACATACACATTTGTTATTGCATCAAGGTTAAAGTCATGTGCCGACAGCAAAGTGCTAGCGGTTGTCGGCGAAATTCATTTATTAAAATGGCAATTCGATTAATGATATTTATTACTTTGTTTATTTACTTATGTACCTACCACATATGCAAGTAGGTATCACCGCCCAATCGCTGCTGCCGCATTAGAGCCCATTATACAATTCTTTTTTCTCTTTTCATTTGCATAGCTACGCCAATTCGCCCAAACTGTAGCCGGTATATGAGTCACTTGGTTTTGTTTTTTCTTCTTATTTTTTTCTTCTCGCTGCTTACTGCAATTTTTTTCACCGGCCACTTGGCAATACCTTTCAAATTTCTTTTTCAGTATGATTTTTTTTAGCAAGCCGTTGGAATATGGGCCGTCTGCATGGTAAAGTAATCGCACAAACATGCCATATATTCGGTCCAGTGGCTCAGCTTAGAGATTTTCATATTCTATTATGTATGATATACATAGATATGTATGTTTGTATGTATGTATAGCAAGTAATAAGTGCAAATTCATTGATTTCATCATGCTATTTAATTACAGACGTGTAAAATATTTTCATTATGGTTTGAAATACAAAACACGCACGACGAACTTCAGACAAATTCGACTATTCATTACCAACCATAAGGTTGCGAGTAAAATCTGTGTATGTGTCTGTAACTATATAAGCCGTAGATGATTCAGTATACTTTGTGGCTACGATAGTGCTTCGAAAAGTGTTGCTACACTATGAAATAGGCTCATATAAACATGTACATACATACATACATATAAGGTATATACTAATTTGTACATATCGCCATATAAATACCTGTTTGTATGTTTGTGCATACATAAAAAAATGACTAATAATAAAATCTTACGCTATTAAATTTTTTACTTCGATTTGCAAATTTAATACCAGGAGATATACATACATACATACATATAGTACGTGTATTTATTTATATTTAAAATTTTCAAAATTATTTATATTGACTTTAGAAAATCCTGTATCCATTTATAAAACAGTTCTAAGAGTTACAAAAAAGTTAAAAGCGAAGCTCACTTAGCTTAGAATGTTAAAGAGAATTTGATATATACTTACATTAATATGTATGTACTCACTAAAAATATGTTTTTTTAATTATCTTTACATTATTACATACATACATACATACCATAACGTTGCATTCTTATTATGGTTGGCATTACAATATAGTTATTGTTCTAGTTACGCTTACTGTCCATTTCATGGTCTATGATAATATACATATGTATATACACATATATATATATATATATATACTTACATATGGAAAATTGTAAATGCTTCCGATTTACGTAAATACGTGACTTTAAAAAAAATATATGTATGTACATATGTATATGAATGTAGCTACTTATGGACCTCAGCGTGTTATATACACAAATATACATACGTACAAATGTATGTATGTATGTATGCCCCTACGTACAAAAGCGTTTCGCGATGTACACAATGCAATGAATTTGCAAATTTGTTAGTTATAAAGTGTTATATACTCGTACATATATACATACATACATAGGTAATAATTTTATTTACCAAAGAACATTTGAGCGTTCCACAGTTTCTGCTTTCCATTCAATTGTCTGACTAATGGCTAGATTTTTGTTTTGTATGTACGTATGGGTACGCGGAGAGAAAAGTAGAAAAAACTATTCATAATGCAAACGTTTTAATGGCCCCCAAAAAAAATGTGCGAAAGGTAGAAGGAAACTGTAAAGCTTTGCAAAATTATTTGCCATTTCTCTTTTTTTCTTCTTTCCTCGCGAAAGAGTTTATTGGACTCTGGTAGTTACCTATACAGGGTACAATGTTTGGAAGACATTTTTTATTGAAAACTATTATTTTGGAAAGTTTTGTTTAATGCGCTAGGCATAATTGTCTGGAATGTCTATAACTTTAGGACTCAGTAACGCAGATTGTTGTAACATATGTATGTATTCATGTAAATTTCACGACAATGCAGCATTTATCTTGATGTGGTCATTACACATGCATTGTTAATCTTCACTTGAGTTCTTAAAATAAAATTCAGCATCACTCCGATCGCGATACCATCTGAAGAATGTGCCTTTACTCACTTTTTATTTGTATAAGGTTTTATTTTTAACAAAGTAAAATGTTCTTTGTCTGTCAGAAAGTGCATTAACTCACAACAATTTGGTGCATATACGGGTACGTACATATGTATATATGTAAAAGATCGCGTTGAGCTGGTAATCGATCGATTGATCATTGCATTTAAATAGCTTCGCTTTGGTCCATACTCTTAGGACGTGGAAGTTTACGAAAACATATGCCTGACTATGTGTGGAAATTAAGTAAAATAAATATACTTACATTGAATAATGAAAAATATAATAATAATATATAAAAAAATAAAAAAAGAAACAAAAAAATAAAAATGAAACAAAAAATTAATAAAATGAATAAAAATTAGATGAAAAAATAGAGTAAAATCAAAAATAAAAAATAGGTCAGAAAAATTGCTTTAAATATGTATAAAATAGAATTAAATAAAAAAAATAGAAATGTAAATTAAAAAAAAAAACGAAAGAAAAAATTAGAAATGCAATACCCAAAACAATCAAATTAAATAAAATAAAAAATGTAATGAAACACAAAAATTAAATAAAAAGCAAAAGAATTTAAAAAATTAGGTAAAAAGCCAAAAAAAAAATAAATAAAATAAAATCGAGTAATATAAAAAAGAATAAATCAAATATATATAAAAAATAATAAAAACTAAAAATAATATAAAAATAATAATATAAAAATAATAAAAAATAATAATATAAAAATAATAAAAAATAATAAAAAATAAAAATATAAAAAAAAAATAAATAAAAAAATAAAAATAAAAAAATCGAAAAATTTAACAGAAAAAAAAACTAAATTAATTAAAACAAAAAAACAATACAAAAAAATAAAATAACAAAAAAAATAAAACAAAAAAAAAATAAAATAACAAAAAAAAAAATAAAATAACAAAAAAAATGAAATAAAAAAATAAAATAACAAAAAAAAATAAAATAACAAAAAAAAATAAAATAACAAAAAAGAAAAAAAATATAAAAAAAAATTAANAAATAAGAAAAAAAAAATAAAAAAAAAACAAACTGAAATTAAAGAAAATAATAAAAAAAAACAGAAGAAAATATTAAAAAAAAACAAAGGAAAATAATATGAATACAAAAGATAATAAAAAAACAGAAATAAAAACAAAAAACTTAAGAATATAAAACAAATCAAAAATAAAGTGATATAAACTAAAATGTATTAAAATAAAATGATATTTTATAAAGTATAGAATAAAATATAATTTAAATAAAAAAAATTAATAGAACAACTAAAAATTTAAAAATGCAAAAAAAAATAAATTAATTTTATATCAAAATTAAAATTTATTGATTTATAATAAAATTAAATAATTAAAATCAATTAATAACACAATTTTAAATAACAATGACAACAAATAAATATAAAAATAATAGGGAGATAAAAATAAAAATATGCGCTATAAATAAAATAAATTAATATAAAAATTAAAAATAAATTAATATAAACTAGAAATTAAAATAAAATTAAAATTCAAATAAAACGAAAAATATTGTATAATAAAAAAACATAAATATTATATATAAAATACAGTAAAATATTAATAATAAATTAAATGAAATAGTAAAGAAAGGTAAATAACGAACATAATTGAAAAAAAAATTAATTAGAAAATTAAAAATAAAAAAATATACAATACAAAAAATAAAAACTGAAAACTAAAGTTAAGAAAATTAAATACAATAAAAAAAATAAAATAAAATATTATGAGATGTGAAATAAAATATTCATATTTATAAATATAGCATATCTCAAAATATATATTAAATGACATATAACGTAAATTAAAATAAAACATTTTAAATGAAATGAATGAAATTAATAAGGAAACATAAAATAAAAAAATAAATTGAAATAAAAAATAAACTACAAATAGAATGAAATAAAATGGCAAATATAAACAGTAGAACTATATATAAATATGTATAAAAAATATAATGAAATATTAATAATAACTAAAATAAAATAAGTATGAAAAATATTTATTTGACATAAATATAATATAACTGAAAAAAATAAATAAGTTAATTAAATAAAAAAAAAAAATTTATTTAAAAAATTTATATACAAAAAATAATAAGTTAACAGAAAATTAATTTGAAAAAATTATATACAAAAAAAAAATAAATAAAATAAAATAAAAGCTCAAAAATTATTATATAATATATTGTTCTATAAATTATAATATAAATTTTATTTATAAATATAGCAAAATATATGAAGGAGAAAAAATATATTTAAAAAATAAAATTAAAGAAATGAATTTTAAACAATTAATAAACAAAATTAATAAATTAAAATGCAATTAAAATACACCAGAAATGGATAAGACATCATATAATTACATACAAGCAAAAAAGAAAAAGTACTTTCCATATATTTTATTTGCTCTCCAATATTAAATTACTTTTATTATTTTGCTTTCAACAAAGAGAGGGTGTGGCGCCAGGAATTCTATATTAATACAAAAAAATGCTGTTCATATCCTCGTACACACACACACCCACCCCCACCCCCCTTAACCAATTTAATCGCATTTTCTACACAAGGCAGTGGGCTGTTTTGGCTCAATTAATGAATAACAAATAATTTCCATTAAAGTTAGATACATATCTAAAATGTTACAATTCCTAACGACATCCGAAATAATATTGAGCATGTGCGAAAAAGCATCGGCAATGCGCATATTCCACCTAAAGAGCGTAATTTTTAAATACTACGTAGATGTTTAGTTATACACCACACTGCAACACGCAACAGAAATGCACTAACAGCGAAAATAAGTAGTAATCAAAGAATGAAAACTCTACATACCCTAGTTGAAAATCGATAATGTAGAAATGCTTCCTGTCATAACCTTTTGGGCACGACGAGTACCCAATCAACCGAACCGAAATTGCAGTTAAATGTCAAAGCCGAACCGCCCGACGCTCTTTCACATCCCGGCAATCTGCTGGGTTTTTATAAGTTAACTGACAGGAGGTCTTGAACTATAGAGTTATGTTGGGTTTTTATAAACAAATTTAAGAAAATAATCGACGAATCTTCAAAGTCTCCAAAGCAGCGATTGACATTTATTATTGACGTACATGCAATGCGCAGGCTTTTCCTGGGCGCCCATTTTTTTTTTTGTTTTTGTTTTTTTTTTTATTGTGCTTTTGCCGAGTAGCCAGTGGTGGTGGTAACTGTTGCCAGGACAAAGGCAAAGAATGCTCAGTTACTTGTATGTTGGCAGTTTAGCTCAGAGTGAGACAGTTTGAAATTAGAATTGGTGCAGCGAAAACTTATAGCGGCGGAGGCTTAGCTCATAATATCTGGTGACATTCGATTGTTACAATTGTAAATTATAAAATTTTACAAAAAGTAAAAAATAAATACATACATACATATGTATGTAACTTGAGTGTGGAGATTTTTTATTAATAACTCAAAATTACACAAAGAAAACAAAAAAAAATAAAATAAAAAATTGGAAGTGAAACGAAAATCATAAAACAGAGAAAAAATAATTATTTGAAAGCGCAGACGTAATAAAATTTTGTTTTGGTATTGCTGACAGCGAAAGAAGAAAATAATAATTTTCTTTTCCGCATCAATGCAAATGCATTTTTGTACATCCTTTTAGTAAACGCGTTCATGTCCTTTTTATAATTGTGCTAAAAAAAAAAAAAAAAAAAAAAATCTGTTTTTTATCGTGTACAATAGAAATTAAAATATAAAAAAAAGTTTTAAATTCGTTGACTAAAAAGAGAACCAAAAAAAAAAGAAGGACAATTAAATAAAATGGATTCGAATGGAGAAATCGCACAGAACGGCGTTTATAAGCAGCGGCCACTGATTTGTTCGCTTTTAGATCCCCGTAAGTGAAAATATGCATTCATAACTAACATATAGACACATACATATGTATGTGTACATACATGCAATCATTATATAGCGCATACCTGTATCGTAAGTGTACACAATAGGGCTCGGCTCACTTTCAGTTAACACGCAAATATATGTACATACTCACACATACATACATACGAGTATATGCACATTTACTAACCTACACTAAGTGGTATGGTGTTTGGCGTAACTAGCATAAGTACATACTCTATATATGTATGTAATATGCTATATACTAGTAACTAATGTATATATGTATGTATATAATTTCCTCACATGCAATTATAAACTGCTGACTAATGATTTATTAAGTTTAAAAGTCATAGCACTTTTCTTCTTCATCTCTTTCCTCTGCTGCTCGTATGTGGCGTTGGCCTCTGGCGTATTTCTTACACACAAATTTCCTTTTTCGGTTACTAATACTTCCACTAGTTAGGGTATTGCTCAACAAAACTTTTTAATTTTATTTTTTTTTTTGCTTTTTTTTGTGCTTTAATTCCTGCAGACAGTTAAATAGTTTGAAACTATTAGAAAGTCAAGTAATTTGTGCTGCGAAAGTTGGCAGTAAGACAACATATTCATGGGAAATCTAAAAATCTGTTCGCCCATCGCTATATATGTCCATATGTACATATATAATAATCACTTTATGTCATTTCATTTCCTCTCACACACATTTTGTTGTTGTTGCTTGCTTATGCTTTTGTATAATTCTTTTAAAATGTTCATTTAACATTTATTCCCCTCATCATCAATTTTGACTAATTCTTTTCTCTTATATACGTATCTTATATATGTACATATGTATACACTAACTGTAGTCATAAGCAAAAAAAAAAATCAATATATATGTATGTATATATTTCAGATGCCTGGTTCAAGCCGGAGCGTTTACATCCACGTGGTAAGTATTTTGTCGATATATGTATGTATGTAACTAGTGCAATAAATTCTGATGACTAAGTAATCAAAGATCATGAATTGAGGACGATAATTTCTAAGTTCGAAGTGCGTTTATACATATGTACAAATAACAGTTGTTTTGGTTGTTTCACTTTGTAATAATTTTGCCGTAAACGGCGTATGAGTTCGCTGATGGTGGTCATTCGCAGAAAAAAGCTGCTTTAAACTGATATTTCTTCTCACATTTTGAGACATTTTTCACATTTCAAGAGATTTCTTCACATTTTATATTTTTTCAAAATATTTATATGTAATGACGAAATGAATCGATTCTGCCCGGTTTGCTATACTGAACTAAGTGCGTCAAGTCAATGGAGTGTAGGGTCTATAGGTATGTTTAAGTCACTATAACGGTAAAAATAAAAAGAAAAATATTTGTGTACTTTTCATAAAAATGAAATGGTATATGCATTAACTTTGGCCCGAAGTAAATATTTATATATGTATGTACATATCAAAGTATCAGAAGGAGAAAGAATAGATTCACCAAAATTTATACCGATCGGACCAGATCGGATCGTCGTTCCGTTTGTGTGCAAACTATTACCTCTGTTTTCGGAATATTTCAACCAAACTTAGTAAGCAAATGTATTTTTAGCTACAACAAGCATATGTAAAATATATAATGAACTGCATATTGATACTGAAAATCATCGAAATCGCATGTCATACTTTTTATCGCCCGATTCGTTCAGATGAGTGATTTTGTATTAAAAATCCGCTAAAAAAAGACAAGTAAATGCGTGATATTCGGTATTCTACACCGAAGAAGGATATTTTTTCTTGTTTTTATTGAACATACATATGTATGTAAGTACATACATACATGAACACAAACTAGTTCTAACTCAACGGGGCTTGCGAAAAAGTTGTTAGCGTTATGACCCTTATAATCAATAGTGATGGAGGTCTTAGTATTTTCGGCTGGTGCTTGTTACTACGGTTCGTTAGCTCAGACCATGATTCAATAATTAAATGTTGGGTAAGTAAACACTCGCTCCTTCTTGACAAAAACGCTCCCTTACTGAAAAACTATAAAGTTTCTTTGTAAAAAAAAACAGTATGTTTAGAATAAATATTTGAAAAGTAGCTAAATACTTTATTTTTTTTTATGAAAACATTTTGGTCGACATGACTTACTCTTTTCCGATTGATTGGTTCGATATTTTGAAAACTTTAATTATTTATTTTTTCTTGTAGCGAAGTCTGCGAATCGTAATGGTAGTTAATTGTTTTTTAAAACAAATTTTGCTATTTTTCAAATAAATCGATTTTGACAGCCCTTCGCATAACTCTGTCGGTATGCCGTCAGCTCCAGCCGATTTGTTAATCTTCAATCACGAAATCGCTATTGGAACCTAAACATAGTCTGGCAGTGTAACGTCCACCATCTTCGGGTGTTTCATTTTCAGTACCATTCAGCAGGCTGCAGAAGTGTTCCCACCATAAATTTAGTATACTCTGGACATCTGTTATTAGATCACTCCCTTGGGTTCTACAAAAGTTTGCTCCAGTCGTTGAAAGTCGCCGTATTATTTCGTAGAATAAGCATAAAACCTATCGGCCAGCTTCTGAAGCTCTTCATACTCACGCATTCGAAGTCGATCAGGCTGAACCCACTTGGGGATGTATAATTGTTGAGGCAGAATTTCCCCACAGTTATGCTAAGATATCCTCTTTGCCTACCCTAACGTTGAAATCGAAAAGCACAGCGTAGTGGTTAGTACGCTTACTAAAGGTATCCTTTGTCACATCGTCCTTCTTTATCGACGTGGCATGGATGCAAGTCAACGTTCTTTTGAATAATTTCGTTTTGATTCGGATTGTTGTGAGACGTTGATCCACCAGAGTGAATACTCGACACCAAATTTGCGCTCCTTTATATGGCCGTTGTAGTATATTTCCCAAGGGCCCACATTCTTCCGTCCGTGTCCCATCCATCACACTTCTTAGACGATGGTGATGTCAGCCTTTAATTTTATTAGGACATCACTCAAATTATGCAAATTTTTTTAATTTAACCAATTAAAAGTAATTTTACTATTTATAATTTTATTATTTTGCACATCCATTAATTTTTACAGTATAGATTTTGATTTAATAGAAAATAAAGTTTTATTATTTTACATTCAAAAATATTTAATTCGTGTTTAAAATGAATGAACTCCTCTTTTGCTACTTTGCTAGACTATCAAAACCTAAGGAACTGTAGTAAAAATTTCGCTGGATGAAAATGGTATTTCGTCAGTTTAAGAGAACTTGTAAAGTGGTAGTAGATGCTAGTTTGAATATAATGTTTAATATTATATATATATTAAATAGACCTTATCTCTACCCGGATAAACCCATTTGAAACAGTAATCCTTTCAGCAAATCCCTAATGAGGTTACCATTACCTAAACAATTTCATTGTTCGTTCGTTATGTATATTATATTTATGTATTATTAAGCTATAAACACTTAGAACACGCCACGGCACTACAATACCACTTCGTCGGTTGCTTGCTTGTGAACTATCAGCGCTGGAGGGCGCTGGGAGCGCCAATTGTTGGTGAAACCAATTTTTTTTAGTTGTTATACGTTTTTAGTAAGAGCGAAATGGCTAGTTTGTTTGTATGAATTGAATATTTTTTTTCTTTGTTATAAAAACAGCAAAGAAAAATGGTGGAAGTGACAGCTGTTTCGGAGATCACTGCATCTCCTCATCAGACTTCTTATGGCAGGGATCGAACCAACGGATCCTGACTTAACTGGCGAGTGCTCTACCACTGCGCCAACATCTGAGCCATGTAATCTGTTGTTGTATTATTTACTTCATTATTAACCAAAAACTATTAATTTAATAGTAATTTAGGCGCTATTCTCTTAATAGCTCGGTTAGTGAGTTGTTTTGAAATCCTCTATACTTTTAAAATAATTCACTGAAAATGTATAAGCAAGATTAAGTTTCGGGCTCAGCCTATATGTATGTTAATCATTTTTTTGCGGTCATGAAAAATAATTAAATTATAAATATTTTTTTTATTATAAAAATTCATTACAATAAAATTATATAAAATTTTAGCGACAAGTCTTTAACTGCTCATCGCCGCCCGCAGTTTTGAATATAGTTTTAATTAATTTGGCGACAGGGGCGGCTCGTGGTTGTGTCACTTATGATCGTGTAGCGCTCTGAAAAAAAAATTTTTTCGTGTTTTAATTTTGTCAGATGCCGCTTGTCGCTTGTTGCCTAGTCGTAACCTAAATGTTCTACACTTTACTGTCTCTCTTTGCACTCTTCAGGCATGAGGCATAAGCGACATCTTGTATTGGAATGTCGAGCTATCTGCACATGCACTGAGAAACACATTTCATAAAGCCGCTTATTGGCATATACGCCTAAAAGTAGATATCTATGTACACACATACGTTGACAGCAGTCTGTGCTACTAAGTCATTTTGAATTTTGCAAAAGTTTTACTCTTGTTCGGTGGTTGCTTACTTATGCAAAAACGAGTGTCAATGCTGATTTGCTGATTTGCCCTGGCTGGGCGCTTAGTAGTCGTTGTTCTACTGTTGTTATTGTTGTTGTAAGCAACGCGCTGCTGCCATAACCCACTCTAGGCACTATTCATATTTTCAATTGGCACTTTGATGAGTGCAATCGTCTTTGAAAATTGGTTAGGTCATATGAAGAATATAGTATCATTGCGCTACTTTCTTTTTGCTGGGGTTTTTTATAGCCTAAGTCAAGGTGATGTGAGAGGCAGCTTTCTTAAATGTAAAAAATAAAATAAAAATTTTTACAGATTTTTTAGTTTATCAAAAGGATGGGAGGGAGTGTGGCATGTTTGCTTGTTCCTAAAATTTGTTTTCATTTATTTATTTAAAATCAACTTATATTCACCACTGCGCTCTCTATTTGCCGAGTTCAATGAACTGCAATTATAAGTAGGAAAGCAGCGAGTTTTACCGTTATTTTATATATGTAGTTTGCCATATAAAACATAAATCACTTCCGACTGCGCGTTTGCTAGAAGACCGTTGTATCCTGTACATTGAGTCAAATGAATATTTTATTAAGTTAGAAATGTATACTTTGAGTAAAAACGAACAGCAGCACACAGGGCCAGGCAAACGAAACGGTACAAATATCTACATATATATACGTGTATTGCAATCCGGGTGAACCAATTCTTACGTATATTCAGAAATTTAATATTTGTGAAATGCCATTCGCTTAAAAAAATCATTAGAGGTGAACTACCGCTTCAAGCATACATACATATGTATGTATATATGTGCATTTTAAACGAATTGAAGAAGTTTGTTATGATTACGATGAACCACTGAGGCAGTTTGAGACGTAATCTGGGATGATTGTTTAAAAAAAGTGGGTTTTAAGAAATATTGAGTTGTGTCGCTTTTGTATTTAGTATGCGTATCCGTACATATGTATCTATGTACGAGTATATAAAATGCTTTCTTCTAAATGGCTGAAGGATCAATCCACAGCTTAAACCACTGATCGTAGTCGTGATCGTAGATCGAGTCTCTTCTGCGGGAGAGTTTCTTCTGCGTATGACCTCTGCATTCGATTAGAAAGGATTTTGCGGGAAGTGGATCTGGGACCGATCAATTCGAAAAGATCGAGTTTATTTTAAAATCGTTTGATTTACATGTGGTTTGGTACGCAGATAACTCTTTGCCTAAATTGGCATGTGTCGCAGATTTTCTTTCGAAAAGGAGACCCGAGACCGGTTTATTCGAAAATTTTGTATTATTTATTTCAATTAATTAACAACAAGACGTCGTATATAATTATGAACGGTTGATTTTGGTCGGAATTCGACAAACCAACTTCGACGCTGTGTTTCTTTTGAGGCCTATTCACTTTTAGCAATCTACGCTGCTTTTCCTTTCCTTTCCTTTAAGGAAATCATAAAGTAAAATGTGGCAAAA